TTAGAATTAATGTTACTGTCCTTCACATAAATTGTACAAATCTTACAACAGTAAGATTCCATTTCCCAGCTCCACTGTCCTTTGTACTACTTTTGTCTTCAATTTTACATTTACATACATAATATTCCCCCACAATATGTTATTATTTTAATGTATTTTGCTAAAATAACTTAACAATTTCTCTTTATTTAAATGGAGATATTTTTCTGTGTTAATACCTTAATGCTCTGCTGTCAATCATAGACTGATTTTTTGACTGAGATTTAGACATTGTAATTGATTAAAAAATAATTTGAAACTTAAAATATAATTGATATCACAGGGCTTAAATTATTTTTTTTGTCTGATGCAAGTTATTTTTTTAAAGACTTATTTATTTAAGAGAGAGAGAGAGAGAGAGAGAGAGCATGTGCCCAAGCAGGGGAAGGGCAAAAGGAGAGGAAAAGAGAGAATCCTCAAGCAGGTTGAGTGGTGAGCACAGAGCCCAAGGTCATGACTGAGCCAAAATTAAGAGCCAGCGGCTTAACGGACTGAGCCATCCAGGCACCCCACAAATTATTTTAACATCACTTTCCTCCAGCTCAGATAAATCCCTAATCATCATTTCTTTATAAAAAGGAACATTTAAGTGATATGCACACCAAAAAAGAAAAAAATAATTTTTCGCAAAAGTACCAGTTCTAAGATCCTAGAAAATATTTAATGAAGTGCCAGGAAATATCCACCCCTACTTCAAAGGCCTAGTCTTACATAAAGCTCAGAAAGCATAGAGCTTACAGAAAACTCCCTTAAATTTCCTCTGTAATTGGATATTGAACTAAAACTTTTGAGAGTTAATTTCCTGGGGCTGTATCTTCACATACTTAGGGAATATTAGTCTCTACTAGTTGTCAGTGGGTTATTACGACTGCATTGTTTATCAGTCATTGTTCAGTGGAAATAGCCTGATTTGAATAAGGACACGGGACATGAGTCACATCCTGCAAAACGCCAAGACACATGGATAATCAACTTTGAGTAAGGGAGTAAGACTACCTTTAGGTCTGTCCTCCTCCTCCCACTTTCTGCTTTGTATTGATTAAGATAAAGTAGAATTGCTCAGGCTTTCCTTTAGAGGGTTAGCTGGAGATAAATAGAGAAAAGGAGTAAAGATTCTATGTTAATATTTTTCTCTTGGAACAACTGTATCAAATTGAAATTTATCTGTTTCTCTCTATCCTGATAAAATAAAGCCAGATTCTTTCCAGTAGTTAAGGAGAACACCATTATTTTTTCAAAGATATGTTTTCTCCATTGGCGTGGAATATACTACTTTTTACTGGAATGCGTTAGACAGTAGTACTGTCTTATTGGATTTGGCAGACTTTCCTCCAGAAATCTGGAAAAATCTCAAATTCCATCCTTCTAGTTTTATCCCTGTCTACTGCCTTAGCCTTATCTCCTCAATACTACAGTGAAACCAACCCCTTGTTGTCTCCTGTTTCCTCCACTGAATGTCTTCGTCTTCATTCTCCATCTGTAAAATATTATAATCCTTCAAATCTCAGCTCCCAAAAGGGATTTCCCTCAAATCTGCAAGCTGACAGCAATGTCTCCTTCCTTTAAATCCATGGAAGTCTATATATTTCTTAACACAGAGAGCTATTTGTTAAAATGTCACATACCCTAGTTTATTAATAAGCTGCCTGAGGGAAGGGCTTGCTTCATGTTCATGTTCATGTTTCCCACAATGTGCAGCGTAGCATATCTTACCTCAACGACAGGGATAGATATCTGTCAAGCAATCAATTGATTAAGATAGTCTAATATGCTTTGCAAACATCTCTAGGACATTGAGCAGGGCTAAGCCTAAAGTTCATCGTGGAGTCAAGGCCCGTTTTGAGGGACTTAAGGAAATCATGCACAGAATCGGACAGGACACCCCTGGTGGGAATAGATAAGTTGTTGGGTGCATCCGCTGCTGGCAACTTTTGTCTGGAGTGAAGAGCTTTCAGTGCAGTTTCCATCACGGCATCTCGCTTCCGTTATAATGTTTTGCCTCCTGTTTTGTTTATATGAAAGACTACAGTCTTGTCTTAGAATTTCTGGGTATTATGAGTACCTTAGGGAAATCTGATTATAGAGATAGTCTACTGAACAGTGAAGAGTTGCAATTTGTTTCTATTGAATTTTGTCAATTCCGAATCTCCGCTACCTTTGTATTCCAGTCCATTGACTAGAGCCTCCCAGCCAGACGTTGAGGCATCTGTTTCTATAGTCTTCGGAACTGGGAAAGAGAAATAAGAATGTGCGGGAATTATCTGTATATTTGCTAACCACCAATTTAGATCTAAGTAGACTCCCTCTGTTAGGAAGACTAATGAATTCCAATTCTCTGAAATATCCTTTGCTTTTAACAAGCAAGATGGAAGGTATCTAAAGAAAAAAGAGAGAGAGAAAGAGAAACACAGAGGGAAAAGCTGTGAATAATGCCACCAGAGAACCAATTATGTTCACCAGCTGGCAAAGAGAAACTTGTTTCCTTCGACAGAAAAAAAAAAAAAAAATTCAGTTTTAGCCTCAGACTTCTTTTTGACATTGTGTTCTTTAGGGCTGAATGACAAATGCTCCCAGGCACCCCTTAATATATTAGAAAAAAAATTCTTAACACTTGTTACATGTAACATGACAAAACAATGGGCAGGAAGAGAAAAATGAGCTAAGGCATCAACATGGCAGTTAATAAGAATCAACTGAGTAAAATAATAGTCTCCTCAGCCATGACTGAGTCAGTGACACATTCATGACTTGGTGTGACAGACATTAAAAAAAAAAAAAAAAACTGATCAGGACATTTCATTAAATTAAATTTAATTTCCTTAAAAGTATATTTGCTATGAAAGAATGGTTACAAGCTATATTTTCCAGTAAGACAAACTACATTTTGAACCCGGTCTCCCCCTCCCCCAGTTTGTGGGGAACCCTCATCAATGGCAGCTAACCTAGAACTGAGCCCTTTGTGCTTTAATTGGGGAGACAGACCCCACATCTTCCCAGTGTCAATAAATCAAAGTCCAGTTCAACAGCATGACAGTTCAGAGCAAGAAAATCAAATTAACTAAATAATGCTGATTTTAAAAACATGATTTCAGAATGTCTCCGCTGGTAAAACTTGGAAGGAAATGGTGTCTCCTCAAGGTTCATTCATGTTGTAGCATGTGTCAGAATTTCTTTCCCTCTTAAGGCCGCATAATGTTACTTTGTACGTATAGACCACATTTTGCTTATGTATTCCTCTTTGATGGACACTTGGGTTGCTTCCACCCCTTAGCTATTGTGACTAATGGTGCTGTGAACATGGATGTGCAAATAACTGAGTCTCTGCTTTCAGTTCTTTTGGATTTATACCAAAGAATGGAATTGCTAGACCATATGGTAATTCTATTTTTAATTTTTTAGGAACTGCCACTATTTTCCATAGCAGCTGTACCATTTTATATTCCCACCAAGAGTGCACAAGGATTCCAATTCTTTACATCTTCACCAGCACTTATTTTCTGTTTTTGTTTTGTTTTGTTTTAGTAGCCATCTTAATGAGAGTGAAGTGGTATTTCACTGTGGTTTTGATTTGCATTTCACTAATGATCAGGGATTGTGTTAGCCAGCTTGGACTGCTGTAACAAGTACCATAGACTCTATTTCTCACAGTCCTAGAGGCTGGGAAGTCCAAGATCAAAGTTCATAATTTGGTCCATAGCAGGGATGTTAAGCATCTTTTCATGTGTGTATTAGCCATTTGCATATCCACTTTGAAGAAATAATCCATTTTGAAGTAGGGTCATTGTTTTGTTTTAATTTGTAGAAATTCTTTATGTATTCTGGATATTAACTCCGGATCAGATATATGATCTGCGGATATTATTTCCATTCTGTGGATTGTCCTTTTACTTCTTGAAGCTGTCCTTTACCTTTAAAGCATGAAAGTTTTTCATTTAGATGAAGTCCCATTTACTTTTTCTTTGGTTACAGTGATTATGGTGTCATCGACCGCCCAATTCAAAGTCAGGATGATCTCCTTTGTTTTCTTCCTTTTTAGAAACGATTTATTTATTTATTTGAGTCAGAGAGAATGTGTGCACATGCATTTGTGGGGAGGGAGAGAATCCCAAGCAGACTTCCCACTGAGGTTGGAGCCTGGCGTGGGGCTTTGTCCCAGGACCCCAAGATTATGTCCCAACAGACTGAGCCAGCCAGGCACCCCTCCTATGTCTTCTTCTGAAGTTTTACAATTTTAGCTCTTAAATTTAGGTTTATGGTCCACTTTGAGTTAATGAGTGGATGTTTGTACATGGTGTGGGATATTCCTTTTAATTCCTCAGGACATAGCAGTTTTAGAATGCTCTTTGCTAGAGTAGATATGAAAAAATTAGTAAGGAGCAGGGTTTTTTGTTTGTTATTCTTAGGGGTCTTTTAAAAAAAATTACTCATTGCCAACATGGGGAAATCGCATCTATATCATCAAAAATACACTTCATTTACATGAAGCTCATTCAGTCTGTTTGATAAGCAGAGAAATCCAAACAGAAGGTAACTTCACAGGAATGGCTGCCAACAGCAGTTGAGATAACACTCATTGAAATATTATGAATAATATCTTAATTACAAATGAAAGCTTGGTCTCATCTTTTTAGCCCAGAATTGGCTAGGCTACATGTCATTTTTTAGTTTGATTAATGGCAGAGTCACTAATTAGGGTAGGAAAGGGATTAGCAAATCCTTCAAGATGTCGGATGTAGTCATGGTGCCATTTTGTCATAGATACTATAGTAAAGTTCACAGTGACAGGCATGTGTAAATAAATAGGAACCGAGAATACTCAGATTTGAAGAGTGAAGGCAATACTTTCAAAATCAACGTACTGAGTTAGATTTGTTTTTTTCTCTGAATTATCATTGTGTTGAATTGGACTTTCATTTATTGACATTCTAAGATTTGGTACAGATTTTCTCTTTGCCTTGCAGGACGCACAGAACCAAAAATTGAAGACAAGTCTATGGTACCACGAGGTAAATGATGTTTCTTTCTGTGCATGCTGGACCCTTTATCTTAACCTGTTGCAAAGTCTCATTATTCTAAGGAATAGATATTTTCTTTGTGTTTGTAACTTAGCTTCATAGATGTGCTGCATGCCTAATTTATTAGATTTTGTGTAAGATATATGGCCATGGTTTCTGGTTGGGGCACCATCTTTAGGAGCTGGGAGGAAAGTCCTCTCCTCTAACAGTGCCATCAGGCAGATCAGCTGGATTATTCACCCAAATCCCTCTTCAGTTCCTTGGTGAGACTGACATTGCCCCTTTTTGATAAATTTCTTTTCTGGCCCCTCCTTACAGGTTTGGGATGATGAGTTTTTATCCTGGAACCCCAGCATGTTTGATGAGATTAGAGAGATCTCTCTACCGCTAAGTGACATCTGGGCGCCGGACATCATCATCAAGGAGCTGTAAGTGTGCTGGGGTATATTTCCATGGGGTTTAACACTACTTGGACTATTCAGGCCACTTGTTCTTACTTTCAGTTATTGCTGCTGTTTTTTGGTTTTCATCTTGGAAAGGATCACAGTTTTGGGAATATTCACGTTGGAAGTCCCATGACTTGATGTCATCTAAGATACAGATTGGATTACAAACGCTTGAGGTTACTCATGGCTTATGTCTGTGTTTCAAGAGCACCAAGTGAATTAACTTTTGAGACTCTGATTACTGAGTCCACCTTTGCCAGGGTGAATTATGTCACGGGAAATGTGATTCTTATTTGCGCTTCTGGGCGAGTCCTGGGTATCATGGTCCCTGCCATCTCATAATCAGTTCTGCCTGTGGATTGAAATGGGGAAGACCCTCTCTGTAACAGCGAGGTCTCTTATGTTTTACATAGTGTGGACTTCGAAGGATCACCCGACCTTCCATATGTCTATGTGAACTCATCTGGGACCATTAAGAACTCTAAGCCTATCCAGGTGGTCTCTGCGTGCAGTTTAGAAACCTACGCGTTTCCGTTTGACATCCAGAACTGCAGCCTGACCTTCAGTAGCGCCCTGCACACAGGTAAACTGGGAGAGGCACAGTCTGCTAGTGGGAGACACACTGCGCTGAGTTGGCACACACGGGTAACATTTGGTCGTGCCATCCGCGAGGTCATTTTGTTCTCGCACATCATTGACTCTTTGCAAATCTCAGTGTCTTCTTACGGTCTTTGGCTTCTGTTGTCATCCCGACTAAATCCTGTGCTGTGCCCAGCTCACTGCTGCTGTTGGTTTGGGAATACAATAGTTGACCTCTGCTGCCTCTGAGAAGGTTATAGAAGTCCTAGGACCGGGGCCAGCATTCTATGGATAATGGAATACAAACTGTAAATTCACAGCGGGGTTTCGTTCCTGTTTTTCTTTTGTTTTGTCTTCCTGCTAAAAAGATTTTATTCCACATTGCTATCCCTAATTCAAAATGGTTATACCGAACCCTGTCTCGGTGAGACGGTACATGCGGGGGCAGGAGTAAAGGGAAGAATTTGAATGGGGAGTTGGAAAAGTGGGTTGTCGTCGAGGCCTCTCTCTGTGGGGAAGTCACTTGCTTCTGTTGTTGTCAGTGCACGACATCAACCTGGCCTTCCTGAGGAGCAGAGGAGACACGAAGCATGACAAGAAGGAATTTTTGAATGACAGTGAGTGGGAGCTTGTCTCTGTGTCCTCAACGCACAACATCCTGCAGAGCTGTGCGGAAGGGTCTGCCCAGATTCAGTTTCACGTAAGTCCTCCCTGTCCCGGCTGCCCACTTCTTGGCGGTCCTGGGCCTTCTGTGTTGGGCTGAGGAGTCTCTGCTCTGTTGCTTGTTCTCACTTGTGAGCATCCGAGAACAGATGACTCTGGTGGCTCTGGACATCCCCCGGCGTGACGGCATTTCCCAGACCAGAGATTCCGCCACAGGCCCTGGACTCCTGCTGCAGATACCCCTTCTGCGGGTATAAAAAGATTGGTTTTTCAGGCACCAGATCCACCACCATAGCAGGCATCCTCAAGCCTTTCGGTACATACTGACATGCTCATTCCTAACAGCCATGGAGAGGGAAGAAAAGAAACCCCACATACAACAATAACAACAAATTGGGAGAAGACTGTCTCTTTGACATTATTGTCCTGTTTTTAACTGAGTCAATTATTAATTCCAGATACAAATTTATAAAATTATCCTTATTAGCTTGACTATCTCGAGCAGTTAGCTAACAAATCACCTGCAGGATCCTTGGAACCTATTGGTGGTATCTGGACCAGAGAGGACAGCTGCTCTAAAATGACTCAGTGATCACCCAGACTTCTCAGACGCGCCACCAGGGACGCACTTGGCTGCACTATCATGGGGAGGTTTGGTTCGCAGGAGCTTGGGAGGGGGGTGTAGGACAATGAAGCCTGCTGGTTTGCACTCCAGAGGCAGCCATTCTCCCGTCCCTGATAAGTGGTTTGCAGCACGTTCATGCAGCTGGTCGACCCACGATTCATATCCACTTCTGCTCCTCCACACCAAGTCAGATAGTGGTGGCGGTCGGGTGGGGAGGAGGCCTTCATGCCAGGTAGTGTCTCTGATTGAAAAATAGAGACTACAGGCAGGCCAGGATTATACTCAAGATGAATTCTCCTGAAACTAAATCTTTTGAATAAGAGGGAAAGTTCAGACTAGACTAGGTACTGTGGTTATGCTGGCTAATTATATGCTAAGAGGGTGAAATAAGCTATTCTCGAGGGCACAGATGCCCCTCCATTTTTAGTAAGTGTTCTATGTAACTTTCTAGCAAAGCCCTGGTTAAATCAGGGCCTCCTCGAAGTAGCTGTGGTTTGAACCCGACTCCGTATGACTAACTAATCGCAACTCATGCCTTCCCAGTGGTGGGGTTTGGGTGTTTCCCTGTTCTGCTTGGTTTCTAACAAAGCTAGCATTGTGGCTTGTTTGTCCACCTCTTTGTAAGCGAGAGAAAAGGAGGGGAAGAAGAGAAAGCTTTTTTAATTTCAATGAGTTTCTTGGCTAAGCGTAAACACCTCATTAATTTTAAAGATATCAGCCCACAAACATTATTAATGCAGCCCAAATAATGGAGAGCATTAAAGGGAAATGTGAGGGAGCAGCATGCGCAAGGTAGGGCATAGTCACCTAGTAAGCGCGCCGGAGAACGCTGCACACACCATTACCTACGCTGCACGAATGAGACAAACAAAGGCAAGAGACAGGGCAGGTAAACAGGAGTCGTGCACGCGCATGCATGCACACCCACACACACATGCACACACATGCACACACACACTTTCCATAGAGCAGCCATTACTTGTGGTTACACGTCATCCTGTACCCTGAATATTAGTTTGTCTTCTCAGTAGTGGCCAGAGGTTTTCTATTTGGTAGCTCCATTTTAAATGTGATGAGCAGAGATGTGAAAGATCATTTAAGCAAAGGAGAAGCTTCCCTGCATCTCACGAGCAATGACCCTCTCCTCCTCTGCTCTGTTCACCGCCATGCTGCATCTGCACTTACAGAGTGTACATGGACGCAGGCTAGAGGTGGACCGTGATAGGACTTCCTGCTTGTGGAGCTTTGCCCTGGGTGGGGGCTGAAGTGGGCTATGTGGCAGGGCTGCCTTCTAGCCTGGCCCTCTAGAACAGAGGAGGGAGGGAACCCTGAGTAGAGTCACAGATCGTGTTTCCTAGGGCAGGGAGCCAGACTCAGCAGCGGTTCCACTGCTCTGAACAGACGTAAAGTAGGTTCAGTGACTATCCCAGTTCTCTATTTCCCTGACCTGTCTCAGCCTCTGTGCCCCCTCCCCCGCCTGCTATGTGTACCGTGGCCAGACTTACGTTCTCTTACTCTGAGTCCTCTTGCTCTGAAGTTAACAACTGACAAGTCCTGGTGTCTTTCAGTAGCCCTTGGGCAATGATGTGAAATTCAGAGCCCGGATTTATGCCAACATTGGGTCTACTAGGGTCCTGACAGCAAGGGCCATCTCCCTCTTAATCTAATCACGGGCTGTAGCCCTGCCCAGGCTGCCCAGCAGGGGGTTGGAGACAAGTCCGTGCAGGGGGGAGGGAAAATGATCTGTTCTAAACATGTTGTCACTCTGGGCCTGATGTGCTCTGCTGCCATTGGTACTAAATCACATGCTCACGATGCCTTGTTGGATCCAGCTAACGGGCAGTCCTATCTGCTGACTCCAGGACACGGACTGACTCCAGGACACGGGCACTGAGTCAGGCTGCGTTCCACAGGGGACCCAGAACACAGGCCCTTCTGCCTCCGGGGATGTCTGTGTGCGCCTGGCTCCCGGTCCAGCAGCCTTAGGAGGGGATCTTACCTCCAGTATGTTATCGGAGGTGCTGGTTCCCAGAAGCAGCAGGGGAAGCATTTGATTTCTTTATGGCAGCTTTCTGTTTTTTGGTTTTTTTAAGGATGAGGGTAGAAGTGGGAGGAGGTAGGAATAAAATGTGAGAGTTCATTTTGGATGGAAGAGGGTGGACAGCTGTGGGAACTCCTGGGAGCCCAACGCTCAGATATCCTCACAATGAGCAAAAAGTCCGTGCGGGAAGGAGGTGGGAGCCCTCTGGGGGCTCCTGGAAAAATGCAGAGGGGCATTTGAGAAAGAAAGTTGCCTCCTCTATCCTCTTTCTCTGACATAGTTTTTCTTTCTAGATTAGGGTAATTTTGTTGAGATGTCTATTGAATGCAGTTAATAAACCTGATAGAAGATCTTTCTGAATCCACCAGATCGTGAGAGAGAGCAAGGGAGAGAGTGAAGAAAGAGAATTTAGAGTCCTAGAAGTCTTTCCAGGGTCACTCAAGTGCCCCTGGAATCATGAGCTTTCTGCTCAACCCCCCTGACCTGTGGTCCAGATCCAGGAAACTCTCACTCCTATGCAAGGACCTCAGTTACCTGGCAGCAACTTTCCCGTTCTTTCCGAATTGGGAATGTTGGGAGGGGCGTGGGAGAGGAGGAAGATGGGCTTCTGTATGAAGCGTGAGTCTGGGCGTCAAAAATTCCAACTATGTCCTAAAGACGGTCATGCAAACTTGAGTACTGGTAGGTCTGCCATCAAGGAGGCAATTAAAGGCTAACCTTGGGGCCTATTCCATCTCCAAGGAGCTCTCCACACACATTCTGAATTAGATTGATCTCTTTCATTAACATCAATAGGCTCCAAATACCTTTGTGTACTTATTATTACCTGGCTTTAATGGATAATGAAATTGTGGCATAATATTGCTAACACCTGAAGGGTGTCTAATGGAGAACACGGACTGAAACTAAAGTGCTTTTTCTTCCCTTTCTGTGGAATTTAAAGGCACCAGCTCCTTTAGTCCATTAGAAGTGATGGGCTCTAGGTAGAGCCAGTCCCACGGAGAGCGGTGCCTCACTGAGCAGGTAACATACCTTCCTCCCCAGCATCAGCAGTCAGGTACTGGCTCCAGCATGACCTGCAGAGAGGCGGCCCTCAGAGGACCAACCTCACCCGGAGAGCCCCTGTTTGTGCAAACTCCACACTCCCACCTAATTGGAACTAAAAGTAGCGTTACTCATAGACTCAACTCAGTACAACTCAGCGAACATCTTTTGAGCTCTTATCACGTGCCAGTCTCAGTGGCCCCACTGGGACCACAAGCATGAGTAAAACGGGGCTCCTGGTATCCATCATGGGCCTCAAATGTGGCCCAGGGAGACTTGAAATAATAACCACAAAACTGAGCATTATTTGACACCACGCACCACTGCAGAGTTTGAACATGTGATCCTCGCATGTCTATGCGATTGGTGCTCTGAGTACAAATCATGCAGACGGGTGATTTGGGGGCACAGAGAAGTGAACTCCCCCAGTTCTGAATAACTTGCCCAAGGGGACAGGGTGACTGTGGAGCCTGAAGAGTCTGACTCCAGACTAATGGCTAATCCTATATGTAGCTGCCACTGCCACACAACTCAACATATATGTTCTAGGGCATTTTTGGCGTTCATCACTGCGGGTTACAGGGCAAGTCACCTGTATTTGTTTCCTAAGGCTTCCATAACAAAGGACCACAAATAGGTGGCTTAAAACAACAGGAATACATTTATTCTCTCACAGTTCTGGAGGCTAGGAATTGGTGTGTCAGCATAATTAGTTCCTCCTGGGAACTCTGAGGGAAAATTGGTTCCATGCCTCTCCCCTAGCTTTTGGCGGCTGCCAGCAATCCTTGGCTTGTAGATGTATTACTCCGATCTCCGCCTCTGTCCTCACGTGGCATTCTCCTTTATGCATCTCCTCTCTTCTTCTCATAAGGACACCAGTTATCCTGGGACATGGGTCCACCCTCTTCTGAACTACTTTGTATCTGTGGTGATCCCATTTCCAAATAAGGTCATTCTTAGCTCCCAGGAAGGACATTCATTCTTGGGCCATTGTAGTCCACTGCCCTCTGGCCCTCTGGCTCCCCAAAACTCAGGTCCCTCACCTGTGCAAAATGCATTTACTGTATCCCAACATCCTTAGATGTCTTAACCTATTTCAGCACCAACCCTGAGACCAAAATATAATCGAAATATAAACTCAGAAGGTCCCAAATCTCATCATCTAAGTCAGGTACAGACTCTGGGTATGGTCCATTCTGGCGCAAACTTCCTTTCCATCTGCAGACTCCAAAACATCCAACCATCAGAGCCCGGTTGCTGATTCCACGGGATGGAGAGGGGAGAAACCTATCCTATTTACTGTACTAATTCCAGTATTTTAAAAAGTGCCTGACATTCTGTTCATGCTCAATTAATGTTCCTTGAACAAGAGAATAAAGAGATTTGAGGATCAAACGAGACATGAAAACAAACCATTTCTGAAAAGTATGTGATAAAATTTAAAATTTCTTTAGGCTGCACTGGGCTTGTAGAAGAAATTAGTCCATAAGTAATATTGCTCCTAAATCGGTCTAAATAAAAAGGAAGGCCCTTTGCTCTTGAAGAAAGTCAATAGAGAGTGTCTATATGATTGTATAATCCCAGCACAAGCAGGGGAGACATCTGCTCTGTGTGACAGCAGAGTTAGTTGTCCACCTTTGTGGCTACAAGTTTCCCTTCTACATTCAGCTACAAAACATCCTCCAGAGACAAAATATCCCCCTGACAGAATGGGCTACATGGTTGGCGGGGCCAGGTACAAAGTGAAAACATGGGGCGCCCTATTCAAAATTACTGGCTTCAAAACGGCACCCCAGCAGAGCATGAAACCAAGCACCGATCCCTTCTAAGTGCTGGCCCCTGTGTAACTTCCCAAGTGGTATGCCCATGACGCCAGCCTGCCTCAAAGCCTCTTGGCTGTTGCCACACCTCTCCCCTGGCACCTTGGGGGTCATGGAGTCTGATAGAACTGGGGTTCCACCTTTGGTTCGGGCCCAGGTTTATGTTCACTCTCTGTAGCAGCCTCTGGTTAGAGAGGAACCAGGTAAACACATGCTAGTTACACAGGAGCATTATTTGGAGTAAAACAGCCGATCTCAATCATAGCCAAATGCTCAGCAAGCAAAAGTAAGGTGCTTTTTAATTTTTTTTTTTGAATTTTTAAAAGAGGCTTTGTTTATTTATTTTGCGAGAGAGAGACAGAGGAGGGGAAGAGGGAAAGGAGGAGAGAGAATCCCCAGCAGATCCCATGCCCAGCGCAGAGCCCGACATGGGGCCCAATCCCATGACACTGAGATCAAGGCTTGAGCTGACACCAAGAGTTAGACACTCAACCAACTACACCATCCAGGCTCCCCAGTAAAGTACTTTTTAAAAAAAGGAATATCAAGACATACAGCCAGGATCACTTAAACTAGCACACATGGGCACTTAGATTTGAGGGGTCCTGGAGCTTGAATCCCTTGCCTCTAAGTCTGGGCTGTTTCTGTTTACCCTCCCCCCCCGCCCCCGCCCACTTGAACTTGGTTTAGGATGCTGTTCTTACACTTCTCATCCTCTTCTATGAAATCTCTAGGGGAGACTTCCACTTCTCCCCTCTAGAGACATCAGGTTTGATCGCCCCACACCAGCCCACATAGCCCAGGCCGGGGCCATCACACAACACCCGTGGAGCGTGGGCTCCAACCATCAGCTCCCTTCCTCCCGCCCCCAGCTAACTGCAGCCATCTCTGTCACAGCATGACAGAGACTACCCCAGAGGCCCAGGGTGACGACAGTTCATTTGGTGGTGGTTTTCTTGTTGACTGTGCTTTGGTAGAAACGTGTTTTAACCAAATTATTACAAAGCGTGAGTGTTGCTCTCCTTTAGATATTTGCGGCCAATTGGGCTTAATGTGAAAGACAATAGCCCGACTACAGTCCCCCAGATGGCTCCGGCCCGCCAGGCTCCACTGAGTTGGGATACACTCCCAGACCCAATGGCTGGGGCCGCCGCTGTCTTCTGCAAGGCAGTAGATGTCTGGTCTCGCCCAGCCCAGCTCTTCCCTACCACCTTCTCCTCCATCCCTGGCCTCTGCCTGGGCTCCCTCAGAAGATGGAGATGAGGGGGAAGAGCCCTGAACTCAACTCAGATGTCTGCTCAGACCAAGAGCTGCAGTCAAGAGCTGTGGCGGAGGAGAACACTGGGCTTGGATTCAGATGTGGGGCACTGCCCAGCTTTGCCACTTACTCCCCTTACTTCAGGAGCTGAGTTTTATTTTTAAGAATCTAGATTGGGGGGTGTTCTACTACCTGCCAGCAAGCTCACAGTGAGAATTAAACCACATCATACGCATAAAAGCATCACACATATTATCTGACACACAGAAAGCATTCAGCTGTTTGGTGGATCAGAGAAATAGAAGATTTCAGCATTATTTTTCCCCCAGATCCAATGGGAAAGGGTTCAGAACATTCATCTGTTCAGTAAACATGAATAAGGTAGGTATTGTTTCTGGCCCCATGAGGAATTTTTCATTGTTGTTGTTTTGCCCTCAAAGTGTCATGGGGAAGCAGTCCTGTCATTCCCTGATGAAAATAGTGTGTGTTCATCAAAGACACTTCTATCACCATCCCAGAGAAGTGAGGTGTACCAAAATGGCAAAAACAGAGCAACATTTTGAGTCTCCAGTTCCCAGCTACAGAACCCCAATTAGCAGGTTTGTACGCCCAGCCGTCCTGCCGGGCACCTGCAGCCGTCCCCCCACTTACGTCCGCTTCACCCCTTCTCTTCCTGCCCTGTGCCCCTGGACATGAACCTTGGCCTCACTGACCAACGGGAAGAGGGATGGAATGGGAGGAGGTTGGAGAGAGGGGGAGAGTGAGTGGGGTTTGTATCCCTTCATTTTTTCTTCCTGTGGAATCACCACCAGGCTGGCTGTGCCCCAGAGAGGGAGGAAGGGGCCATAGCTCCTTTGTGGTGGCCTCCTCCACCCAGCTTTCTCTCCTCAGATTCTAGTCACATTCCCAGCCCTAGACCCGTTCAGGACTCAGGGGAGACACAGCTCACCCAGTCCTCCCAGATATCTGGGGCACTGCCCTCTGCTTGCCCATCCCTTGTCAGCAGTCCCTTCCCCAAACCTTCCTCAGATTCCCCAGGGGTACCATTGGTCCTGCCCAGACTCTGACAGACACACAGGTCCTGAGACGCTCGCATTCCACAGAGGGGGACAGGCTAAGCCAAAAGCAGTACAATATGTTGTATGAGTGGCGTAAGAAGGAAGATTTTGGTTTAAGACCTGGATTTAAAACAGTTTCTCACTCGCCAGCTGTGTGAGTTTGAACAAGCAGTTTAATCTCTCTGAACCTCAGTTTCTTTGTCTGTAGAATGGAGATAATAATAACCAGCCCTTCAAATGGGCATAAGGATTGAACAGGACAGGAAACAGAAGACACTTGGGCTGGTGCCTGGCATACAGCAAGCAGCAAATAAATAGACACATCTTCTTATAATTAGTGATGTTAGTTTGCATAAAAGCTTAAAGGTTTTTTTTTTCTGTTTTCTAAACCACAAAATAATCTTTTTCTAAACTACATAACTTTTTCACATCATGCACACATGCTGGGACATCAGGGAATGTTCTTGACTCTGGGTTCTAGTCCCTCAGCACGGATCCTCTTCACTGGGTGCCTTGTCCCCGGTCAGGTGGTGATTCGCAGGCGCCCACTGGTCTATGTTGTGAGCCTGCTGATTCCCAGCGTCTTCCTAATGCTCGTGGATCTGGGGAGCTTCTACCTACCACCCACGTGTCGTGCCAGGATTGTGTTCAAGACCAGCGTGCTGGTGGGCTACACCGTCTTCAGGGTCAACATATCTGATGAGATGCCCAGGAGCGCACTGAGCACCCCTCTGATTGGTAAGCAGCCTGGGGACACCAGACACCCATCTTCCGTGGCTCCTGTCACAGATCTCATGTTGCACTTCAGATCAGGGGAGGGAGAGGCCCCAGACACTGTGGCTGCTTACACCTCTCTGGTTCCTTCCCTCAGGGGTCTTCTTCGTGGTCTGCATGGCCTTCCTGGTTATCAGCTTATTTATGTCCATCCTGTTGGTCAGATTCCTTCATGATGAGAGGGGCGCCGGGCAGGAACGGCCCCTCTTGTGCCTTCAAGGGGACACCGATGCTGATGGGCCTAGGACAGATCTCAGAGCCCAGCTTGCTCGGACAACAGGTTTGTGAGAAGCCTTGGGGTCCCTATCCTGTCCTGCTTGATCACTCTCCGCACTGGTGGAGCACCAGGCCATGTGTCCTGCTGTGTGAAAAATCTGGAACACTGGCTTCTTAGCCTCTGTGCCGCACTTGATAGGACCTCTCCGGAGACCTCGCTGACTTTCCAGAAAGCCTCGCTTTAGCTTAGAGGTCAGGCCCTCAGTTGACTTTGCTTGTTTTTGTTTGTATTTTCCACTTTTAGCCAGTCAGCTGGAGCGACTCAGCGACTGACTCTGGAGTAATCGAGTGCCAGTGTGTGCGCACACGGGCCTGTATGTGTTTGGGTCCCCGTTGCTTCATGTGAACAGGTGTGTGAATTATCTCAGGGCTCGCTTCGGCAGCGCATACAGTAACACTGGCACAGTGTAGAGGTTAGTGTGGCCCTGCTCAGGGATGAGAGGCAGACGTGTGAGGCATTCTGTATTTTTACTCTTTACTTGGAAGCTGCTAAAGAGCGTGTATCCTGAAAGTTATCATCACAAGAAAAAAACGTGTGGCTGTGTGGTGGTGGTTAACCAGACTTATTCTGGTGATCGTTGTGTGTGTGTGTGTGTGTGTGTGTGTGTGT